AGCAGAGTAGCAGGATACAAGATAAACATACAAAAATCAGTTGGATTCCTATACACCAATAAAGAGAACAATGAAAAGGAAATCAGGAAAACAATATTATTTATAATAGCCCCTAAAAAAAATGAAATACTTAGGAATAAATCTAACCAGGGATGTAAAAGACCTATACAAAGAAAACTACATAGCACTATTGCAAGAAACTCAAAGAGATCTACATAAATGGAAAAACATACCACACTCATGGATAGGTAGACTCAACATTGTGAAAATGACAATTCTACCAAAGTAATTTACAAATACAATGCAATACCAATCCAAATACCAACGACATTCTTTAAAGAGATGGAAAAACTAATCACTAACTTTATGTGGAAAGGGAAGAAGCCCCAAATAAGTAAGCATTTTTGAAGAAGAAGAAGAAAGTAGGAGAACTCAGACTACCTGACCTCAGAACCTACTATAAAGCTATGGTAGTCAAGTACCGGTACTGGTATAATGACAGATACATTTACCAATGGAACAGAATTGAGAACCCAGATGTAAATCCATCCACCTATGGTCACCTGATCTTTGACAAGTGCCCAAAGTCCATTAAATGGGGAATAGATAGTCTTTTTAACAAATGGTGCTGGCAAAACTGGATGTCTATCTGCAAAAAAATGAAACAGGACCCATATCTCACACCATATGCAAAAACTAATTCAAAATGGATCAAAGACCTAAATATAAAGCCAAAAACTATGAAGTTCATAGAAGAGAAAAATAGGATCAATGCTAAAGGCCCTAATACACGACTTTAACAGGATACGAACCATAAGCAACAACCCATAAACTCCAGAAGATAAGCTAGATAACTGGGATCTTCTAAAAATTAAACACTTATGCTCATCAAAAGACTTACCAAGAGAGTAAAACGAGAACCTACAGACTGAGAAAAAATTTTTGGGTATTACAAGTCAGACAAAGGTCTAATCTCTAAAATCTACAAGAAAATCCACCACCTCTACAACAAAAAGACAAATAATCCTATTAAAAAATGGGCAAAGGAAATGAACAGACACTTCACCAAAGAAGACATTCAAGTGACCAACAGACACGAGGAAATGTTCATGATCACTAGCTGTTAGAGAAATGCAAATCAAAGCCACTTTGAGGTGACATCTCACCCTGGCATTACTGACACAAATAAAAAAAACTGGAAATAACAAATGGAGACACAGCGGGGAAATTGGAACTCTTATGCGCTGCTGGTGGGAATGCAAAATGATACAACCATTTTGGAAAATGGTTCCTTAGAAAGCTAGGAATAGAAATACCATACAATCCAGCAATCTCACTCGTAGGAATATATCCTAGAGAAATAAGAACCGTCACACAAATGGACATATTCATACCCATGTTCATTGCAGCATTGTTCACAATAGCAAAAAGATGGAAACAATCTAGATGCCCATCAACAGATCAATGGATAAACAAACTATGGTATGTACACACAATGGAGTATTATGCAACGATAAAGACCAATAATGAATCTGGGAAACATCGTATAACATGGATGAAACTGGAGGACATTATGCTGAGTGAAATAAGTCAATCATAAAAAGACAAATATTGTATGAAACCACTACTATAAAAATTCATGAGAAGGTTTACATACAAAAAGAAACAATCTTTGTTGGTTACAAGGGATAGGAGGGGTGGGAGGGCAAATACTAAGTAGACAATAGATAAGTGATAACTTTGGTGAAGGGTAAAACAGTACAGAATACAGGGGAAGCCAGCACAACTTGTACAAGGAAAGGTCGTGGAAGCTCCATAGACACATCCAAACTCCCTGAGGGACTGAATTGCTGGGCGGAGGGCTGTGGGGACCATGGTCTCAGGGAACATCTAGCTCAATTGGCATAACATAGTTTATAAAGACAATGTTCTACATTCTACCTTGGTGAGTAGCGTCTGGGGTCTTAAAAGCCTGTGAGCAGCCATCTAAGATACTCCACTGATCTCACCCCTTCAGGAACAAGGGAGAATGAAGAAAACAAGATACAAGGAAAAAATTAGTCCAAAGGACTAATGGACCACAACTACCAGGGCCTCCAGCAGACTGAGTCCAGTACAACTAGATTGTGCCTGGCTACCACCACTGACTGCTGTGACGGGGATCACAACAGAGGGTCCTGCACAGAGCTGGAGAAAAATGTAGAACAAAATTCTAACTCACAAAAAGACCAGACTTACTGGCCTGAGAGAGACTGGAGAAACCCTGAGAATATGGCCCCCAGATACCCTTTTAGCTCAGTAATAAAGCCACTCCTGAGGTTCACCCTTCAGTCATAGATTAGACAGTCCCATATAACAAAAAGAGACTAATGGGACACAGCAGCCCAGGGACAAGGACTAGAAGGCAGGAGGGGCCAGGAAAGCTGGTGTCTTAGGGTGGGTTCTCTAGAGAAGCAAAACCAGTAAAGTGTATAAATATATATAGAGAGAGGTTATATCAAGGAAACAACTCACGTGGTTTTAGAGGCTAGAACGTCCCAATTCCTTGGATCAGGGTAGAGGCCTCTCCCAAGTCACACAGCGGCAGAAGCTAGCAAGCCCAAGATCGGCAGGTCGGAGAGCAAGGCTCCCGCTCACAGGCTGTGCAGATCGATGAATCCTAGGTTCGGCAGATAAGCTGACAGCTCAAGTCCCAAGAACGGGAGATGAGATGACAGGAAACAGCCGCAGGATCCAGAGAGAGCAAGAAGCCAGAACGTCTGCTTATATACAGACGCAGGCCACACCCCCAAGGAGACTCCCTTTCATCTGATTGGCTACTCACAGTATATTCAATCATGGGAGTGATTACATTAAAACACTGCGAATCATGGCCCAGCCAAGTTGACACACAATCTTAACCATCACAGCTGGTAATAGGGAACCCAAGGTTGAGAAAAGAGAGTGTTGACATGTCATGGGGTTTGTTAACCAATGTCATAAAACAATATGTGTACTAACTGTTTAATGAGGAACTATTTGTGTATAAACCTTCATCTAAAGTACAATAAAAAGAAAATTAAAAAAAATTGAACACAGTCCTGGGGAAAAAAAAGAGTTCAAGAAATGCACCATTAATTTATTTTTCTAGAATCAAATTAAATCTACCTTTAAGCCCCTATTCCACTAGGTTGGTGTAAGATTCTATCTTAGTCATTAAGAGATTCCTCTTGTTTTACACAAGATTTCAGTTGGTATGGGGTCTCAGAATATGTGGAGACAACGTCTTAGCTTCTGTTCACACTGGCCAGGCTGATATGCTCATGATTCACCATGTGGTTTCTTGAAGGCGAATAGCTCTGTGCTTTCATGCTATACTTGGACAAGGGAACCTGGCTGAGGTTGGTAGCCTTAGTACCTTGGGTCCAGCCATCCAAGGGACACCAATGAATTATTTCTCTTCAGGTTCTACTACCTCCCCAGGTCACTGAGGGGAGATGGGGTTGGACCTCTAACACTCCCAGAACTAGGAATGCTGTCTGTAGCATAACCTCCTCAATTTGTTTAGCCTTTTGAAAGCAAAACCTAGGAATGAGGAAATGACTTCTGGCAATTTCAGCTTTCATCCTCAAATAGGCTTGAGTTAGGAGAACACAAATGAAGAAATGAAAAATACATATGATAAAATACATACTAATATCTTGTTAAGTTATCCTGCTGCTGGAGTTATTTTTACTGTTACCTAACATTCTGCAATTGGTTCTGAGAAATCAAGAGAAGAAGAAAGTCCTGGAGCAAGTCATTGTAAGTCAGGCTAGGGAAGCCAAATGAGTGAATTACCAAAGCATGAAATTGTATAGAGTGAACAAGGTGTTGAGCTGAGTGGAGTAGACCCACACGTACATATATGTCCAGATACTTTTTACTTAAGTATTTTTTGTTAGTAATTCAAAGATTTTTTTTTTTTTTTTTGGTTCTTTGTCTTTTATGCCACTGGTGTTGTGGCCACTGAGCTTTGAGTGCTGTATCAGTCATTGTGCCCTTCTTGAGTCAACACTGGTTCCTGGTCATACAGTCATTTTTGATCATCATGGCAAACTAGCTGATAGATCATCAACAGACTATGCAGATCTTTCAAAAGAATTTGTGATTTATGTCAAGGTAAAATGGAGCAAAGCCATCATTTTCTTTTACTCTGTTGGGGAAAACTCTTGATGAATTGAGTCACACTGCAGTTGTCACACTTCCTTCCACTAACTGGCATTAGTGTCCATTACCATCCTATACCAAAAATAATTGGTTGACTTTCAACCATTTCATGAGGTACCATATGATCAACAACCTATGTTATTGAAGGAAGAAGTCCAAACTGCACTGGTGAAAATAAGGCTCCAGGAACTGACGGAATACCAATTGAGATGTTTTGATAAATGGATGCAGAGCGGGAGGTGCTCACTCATCTATGTCAAGAATTTGGAATACAGCTGCCTAGCCAATCAACTGGAAGAGATCCATATTTTGTACCCATTCCAAAGAAAGGTGATCCAATAGAATTCAGATGCAAGTAAAATTTTGCTGAAGATCATTCAAAGAAGGTTGCACCAGTACGTCAACAGGGAACTGCCAGAAGTTCAAGCTGGATTCAGAAGAGGATGTGGAACAAGGGGTATCATTGCTGATGTCAGATGGATCTTGGCTGAAAGCAGAGAATACCAGAAAGAAGTTTACCTGTGTTTTATTGACTATACAAAGGCGTTCGACTTTGTGGATCATAACAAATTATGGATAGTATTGGGAAGAAGGGAATTCCAGAACACTTAATTGTGCCCATGAGAAACCTGTACTTAGATCAAGAGGCACTCATTTGAACAGAACAAGGAGTCACTGAGTGGTTTAAATTCAGGAAAGATGTGCGTCAGGGTTGTATCCTTTCACCGTATTTATTTAACCTGTATGCTGAGCAAATAATCTGAGAAGCTGGACTGAATGAAGAAGAATGCGGTGTCAGGATTGGTGGAAGACTCATTAACAACCTGCAATATGCAGATGACACAACCTTGCTTGCTGAAAGTGAAGAGGACTTAAGCGCTTAATGATGACTATCATAGACTACAGCCTTCAGTATGGATTATACCTCAACAAAGAAAACAAAAATCCTCCCAACTGGACCAATAAGCAACGTCATGGTAAGTGGAGGAAAGATTGAAGTTGTCAAGGATTTCATTTTACTTGGATCCACCGTCAATGCCCACTTCAGCAGCAGTCAAGAAATCAAACGATGCATTGCATTGGGCAGATCTGCTGGAAAAGACTTCTTTAAAGTGTTAAAAAGCAAAGATGTTACTTTGAGAACTGAGGTGCACCTATCCCAAGCTATGATATTTTCAATCTCTACATGCACATATGAAAGCTGAGCAGTGAATAAGAAAGACCGAAGAATTGATGACTTTGAATTACAGTGCTGGCGAAGAATGTTTAATATATTATTGACTGCCAGAAGAACGAACAGGTTTGTTTTGGAAGAAGTACAGCCAGAATGCTCCTTGGAAGCGAGGATGGCGAGACTTCATCTCACGTACTTTGGATTTGTTGTCAGGAGAGACCAGTCCCTGGAGAAGGACATCGTGCTTGGTAAGATAAAAGTTCAGTGAAAAAGAGGAAGACAGTCAACGAGATGGATTGACACATTGGCTGTAACAATGGGCTCAAACATAACAGCAGTTGTGAGGATGACACAGGACCGGGTTGTGTTTCATTTTGTTGTACTTAGGGTCCCTATGAGTCGGAACTGACTCAATGGCACCTAACAACAACAGTCCTGTTTGACCCAGACTGAAAGGCAATAGAAATAACAGCATTAACAGCAAGGAAATGGGAATGGGAGTAACATCCTATATGTTACTGAAGTTTGGGGTTAAAACTATGGATGTGAGGATTCTTACTAAGAAATTAGAGTCTTACATTTGAGACCCATAAGAATCTGTATATTTAACTTTTCTAACATAAATAGAATTTACACCCTTTGAGTGTTACATACATGTGATCATTTGATAATGCTATGTGTCTTTCTTTACAGTATGTTTTTGAATTTAACTTAAAAATAATTTTATAATATTTATATAATATCTGTCATTTATGAGAGTGCCTACTTTGTGCCAGAAACTTTACAGAGACCTTTACCACATACAAAACTAAAGTTCATCATAAAAATACTGACACTTACTGTTATCTGTATTTCACAGGTGAAAAAAAAGATTCTTAGAGAGGCTGAGAATCTTGTCTAATATAGCATAGCTAGCAAGTTGTGTTACATGATTGAAACCAAAATCTGCTTGTTTTCAAACCTTGTTATACTTATAAATTTTATACTTATAAACCCTTTTTACATTATTTTAATTCCAAAAATAACATGATTTTTAACAATGTATAACATTCAAACATAAGAATTTTTACTATTTATGTGTATGTATATTAAAAAAAAAGCAAACTCTTTGCTGTCAAGTCAATTCCTACTCATAGCGACCCTATAGGACAGTGTAGGGTTTCCAAAGAATGGCTGGTGGATTTGAACTGCAACCTTTTGGTTAGCAGCCAAGAGCTTAACCACTGCGACACCATGGCTCCAAAAATATACATTTATATATATGTATATATATTTAGCTCTTTTGTTATTGGACATTTAATCTATTTTCATTTGATCACTTCTACGTTATGATACTGCAATAAATATACTTCGACATATGTCTATGACCACATCTTTGATTGTTTTCTTAGCTTAAAAAAAAAAACCAAACTCGTTGCCATCCAGTCGATTCTGACTCATAGTGACCCTATAGGACAGAGTAGAACTGCCCCATAGAGTTTCCAAGGAGCACCTGGTGGATTTGAGCTAGCGACCTTTTGGTTAGCAGCCGTAGCTCTTAACCATTATGCCACCAGGGTTTCCATTTCTTTGATAATTTAATTTAAGCTTAGATATTTAAGAGTCAGAATATAAAATTTTTAAGGCTCTTGAAGCATACTGTCAAATTTCATTCCAGAAATGTACTAATTCTTACTCCCTTCTGCTGCGTAGGACAGTACCCACCTCATTGACCTCAGTGTTGAGTTATTAAAGAGAAAATCTTTGACAATTTTCTGAAGGAAAAAATATATAATTTTAACTTGCATTTTGAAAGTTACAAAAGACAATATTTCCATATGTTTATTCACTATTTGTATTTTATCTTTTGTGATTTGTCTATTTATGTCTTTTTTCCATTTATCTACTGTGTTAGTGTATTTCTAATTAACTTTCAATAGCTGTTTATATCGTCTCTTAAGTTATTGATCACACAGCATTTACTTAAATATTTAGTTGTACTTTTATGCCTCTTTTTTCATTCATTCATTCATTCACTCATGCATACAGTCAACTAATATCCATAAAGTAATCTCATAATTCATGTACTCTTCTAGAACATTCGTTTTATTCTGTTTTGTGTTAGTATTACAATTACTTGTCTATACCAACCAAGGAACCCTGGTGGTGCAGTGATTGAGAGCTACAGTGAACTAAGGCTGCTAACCAAAAGGTTGGCAATTTGAATCCACTAGCCGCTCCTTGGAAACCCTGTGGGGGCATTTCTACTCTGTCCTATAGGGTCCCCATGAGTCAGCATTCACTGGAAGGCAGGAGAGGGGATACCAACCAAACCAAATCAGTTGCAGTAGAAACGATTCTGACTCATGGTGACGCCCTATGTTACAGAGTAGAACTGCACTCCATCGGGTTTTCAAGGCAGTGGCCTTTCAGAAGCAGATTTCAAACAGCCAACCTTTTAGTTAGTAGTTAAGCACTTAACTGCTCGCCAGTTTGCACCACCCAGGGACTCCAATTTGTCTAAAGAGATTGCAAATTACTTAAGCGAAGTGTCTTTGTTTTGTGTATCTTTGTTTTTAATGCCTGTAATACCTGATACTGACCTTTATATGTTAATACAATCTCAATAAACAACGATTAATGTAAACTATAATGAATCAATTTTTTTTTAGCTTTGTATAGCAATTAAATTATTTATTTCCTTCTTTAGCTCATTTTAGAAACCCTGGTGGTGTAGTGGTTAAGAGCTAAGGCTGCTAACCAAAAGGTTGCCAGTTCGAATCCACCAGGCACTCATTGGAAACCCTGTGGGGCAGTTCTACTCTGTCTATAGGGTCGCTATGGCAGTGGGTTTGTTTTTTTTTTTGGTTTAGCTCATTTTTAGCCGTCTGGCTTCCAGTAAGATCCTGATGAATGAAACCTCTGTAAGAAAGTGGACTCTATAGCCATCTCCTTCTAGTGAAATGCAAGCTTGTAATTTACTGTCTTTCTGTTCTGTTTGTTGCTTTGAAGGGTATATTCCTCCATAGTGCTGTGGTTCTGCTTTCTACCAGCCTACACCAGGCCCTGTGTCTCCAGTCTGATGTGAGCTGCACTGGAGTGGGAATCAGTCTGAAAAATCCTACTGGAAAGTGCATAAAATCAGCTCTGGAATTTGCATGTTTGAAAGTGTGAAGAATGCATGGATGTATATGAGGATTAAGGATGACCAATGTGATGGAACAGTAAGCAACTGTCTGCTCATATTTTTCTCATCAAATGTTTAAGAACTTTTCCACTAATAGTCGTGAGAATGGCATTTTCTGAGTGTTTTGCTTTTTAGTTTTAATACATGCACATTCTAGAAAATGGATTTTATATGAGATGGCCTGTCCTGACTGGCAACTTTAATAAGTAGGATAGGCAGCCAGGCTTGGTGTCTTGAGTGGGGCATCCAAGCCCTCCAGTATATTGCTTCTCAAATGCTAATGTGCATGCACGTTACCTGGTTACCTGGGAATCTTGCTAGAAAGCAGATTCTAATTCAGAGGGACTTGGGTAGGGCCTGAGTGTCTGCATATCTAACAATTCTCCTAGCTATTGCTGATAATGCTGATTCATAAACCTCACTTTGAGAACCCAGACTGTAGAAGGTCCCAGCTCAACAGTACTTCCTTAACTGTCTCTTTGGGTGTCTGCATTTCCACCATTGGAAATCCTGTACTTTGAGTAAGGAAGTAATTTTAAATTCTAGATTTGAGGATTCCGTCTTTAATATCTTAAATCTTAGAAGGGGATGTGGAAAGCAACTAACATAACATTTTTTCTAATTCATAATTCTTCAGTGAGGGAAGGGGCAGATAAAGTTACACATTAAACTCACCAATTAATAATCTCTCCTCTATTCTTGTTTGAAACAGTTGGTTTAGTTTAAACTATATCTTTTGGGAAAATGCTCGGAGATCCTTGTCTCCCCTTTATGCTTATCAGTATGGCATCTGGGTATATAAGAACATGTGTGAGCTTAGGGGGGTGGGGAGAGGGAGAGCTTAGACCGTTCATGGTCCTCTGGGCTCTTACACCAGGTTGGCAAATCTGTGTCTGGAAAGCTGCACTGATAGTCCACAGTGCAAAAGAGAAACACACACACACACACACACACACACACGCATGCACATCCCTGATAGACTCCCAATAGCTTTATGAAGTAGGTAGTATCACCATGTCATCCATGAGGAAGCCCAGCTTGAGAGACAGAGTGTAATGCTTATGATCTTTAAACTACTAAGGGACTAATTGGGATAAAAATAGGTAACATTACCACTATGGCCAGGCCAGTTCAGACTACAGTTTCATTCAATGCTCAGTTACTCTGCAGGAGTAAGATCAGGAAGTAGCTTTCCGTTCACGTCACCAAAATCCACAGACATACAACTCTTTCTCTTCTGGGGGCTCTTACAAGTGCTCAGGACCATGAGATGTAGTGTTATTATATGGCACGTGTTTTAGTGTATGCGTGTTTGGAAGTTACTGGGCAGATTCTCTGGGGGCACAGATATGTTACTCCAAAGTGGATGATGGGCTGACATTGGAAAGGGACAGCTCTATGCTCAGTCAGCTTCCATTTAGCTGCCTCATACTCAAGTTGGATAGTGATTTTCTTGGCTCTTCTGTTCCTCCCTTTCAGTCTCTGTGGCTGCTCTCTGTCTCTTCCACTGCTCTCTCAGTGTCCTAGTTATCTTGTCCCTCCAAGAGAATACAGTTGAAACTTCTTCTGCAAGTTTATAGCAGAATCTTTCTGCCTTACATTAAATTCTCATTCATTTTTTTTTTCCCCTCCTATTTCTGCCATGGGTGACTCACATCTATCTGGTCTGATCAGGCTGAGGGAATGGAAGACGGTGTTTAATTGAAATAACACTGTGAGCACAGAAAGATGACTGAAACTTACAGATTGATACATAGCAGTATTATCCTGACACCAAGGAACTGTTGGTATGCTCATCCTTCAGATGGAGAAACTGAGTGGGGTTGGTCAGGAGACTTGCCCTGGGTCCCACAGGCAGTGTCAGAGCTGAGTCCCTGTCTAGATCAGCCATTCCAAGAGCCTAATTTTGGAGTATTCAAGATAACAGATGAGAAACTGGGCTGACCGCCATGAAGAAACCAGAGTCAGGATACATGAGAGGAGTTGATTCCAAACACAGTTTTCTTTAGCTTTTTTCTTAGAACCACCCTTGTTGTCATTGGTGAGGTGAATGCTGGGGTTTGGAATGAATAGATGGGAGAACGCCCTGTGCCCCATCCTGTGTTGTGCTTTGCATCAACGCTGGGAATCCCTTTTCTTTCCCTCCCTGATGAACTTCTCAAGTTTCAAAGCTAGATTCAAGATTTCCTATGTACTTTGGAGCTGAGGTGGGCAATTACTCAATGGAGTTTCAAACCCAAGTATCACATCTCCTTAAAGATATTTTACAACTTTACAAAAAAACAAACAAACAAACAAACAAAAAACAGAGGCATCGGTTCTCTTTTCTTTTGGATAGAGATAGCCAAAATGGAGAACCCAGTAAGATGATAAAACCAAAGGACCATAAATGGTTTAATTATACAGAATTTGGTATATGGAACATCAAAATTAGGAATTCAGGCCATTTCAGGGCACAATGCATGGAGATTCTCTAGACCTTTTAGAGTTGTATGTGTTACCTCTTGGTTACATGTGATTTGTCCATAGGGCTAAGGTCAAGGCAACACAACGTTGTTAGTTGCCGTAGAGTCGATTCTGACTCCTGGTGACCCCTTATGATCAGAGTAAAACTTCTCCATAGGGTTTTCAAGGCTGTGAACTTTCAGAAGCAGATCACCAGGCCTGCCTTCCAAGATGCCTTTGGGTAGGTTCAAACTGCAAACCTTTTGGCTAGTGGTTGAGCATTTACCGTTTGAGCCACTTGAGGACTCTGTATGGAGCAGTAGCTGAACAGAAAGGAGGCTAATAAGAGGGTTATCTCAAAGGGCAAACCAGAAATAACAGATCCATATAAGTTAAGTGATATTCAAAATTCTCTTTTTCACCACCAGTTTAGCACACTGAAACCTCAACAAGTGCCATTTGAGGGCAACTTAGGGAAGGGCAAGGAGCAAAGAGCCTTGGTGCCAAATGAGGATGAGGCATTCCTGGCCATGGTATCAGGGCACCATTTCTTCTACTGGGACCCAGCATCCACCCCCACTAGGGCAGTGGACAGTGACCTCTAGAATGGTCCCATGCTGGGGCAGTCAGTGCCCTCAGGAGGCACTTGGGGGTCAGGCTGCTGCGATTTACCATCTAAGATGGAAGTATTTCAGTATTTTAAAGATGGGTATGGCTCTTCTGACATGTACTAGTTAAATATCAGCCCTGCATAGGTTCCTAGGGTAGGGTGAAGTGGGTGTAATCCTTGAGGGCTGTGGAGGAAAACTTTTTTTTT